TCAAATAACTCCCGTTTTTAAAACAGTACATACATTTTATCCCAACCATTATTCTTACCACTTACAGGTACATACTAATGGTACTGCTTTTTCTGCCTTTCTTGCCTTCAAGCAAGGTGGAAGGGGGAGAAGTGTTTTTTACTTTAGCTTAACACAGGCACCTGGAAGCCGTTCCCTATAAATCTAACCTTGACAGATAATTTTGTTCCATCATAGTTTTTCTGCTACCTGCATGCTGCAGTCCCAGATTGTGACTACTTCTGCCTGCAGCATGGACTTCTCCCCACCTACGCAAAAAAAGTCAATTTATTTAGCTGTGAAAGAAAACAGGTATGTCACCACTAACGTAACTGGCTTTTCCCCTCAGAACTATAAACTGGCCAGGAGAGCATTTTCAGATCAACAGTCCAAACGTGTAAAATTTAGAAACAGAATTCCCGTTTCTGGAAGTACACCTGTAAGCATGAGTTATATGAACAGCAAAAGCCAAATCAGGCTGAGATAGTAACCTACAACTGAAGCAGCTAATCCAGACAACACCTCCTTGCTTATCTTAAATCCATCAGTTCAGTGTAATACAGAGAATCCCAGTAATAAGCTACTTCGTGAGATGATCTAAGAAACCTCCTCTTTCATATAGGCATTTGTGGTCTGAATTTATATTTCTTCTATAAACAAAACAGAACACAAAGCATTTCAGACAACCATACACTGCTTTTTAGAGCGGCTGTTACTCTGAGAAGAGTCAGAAAACCTTAAGTCCTGCTTGATTTATTTTCATGCAAATCCATTATTTCCAATGATATCGGACATAGTATGACCAAAATACAAATACAAAGATTCTTCTCAGTGAAGGCAGGAACTTTTAAAAATTTTATGCTTCATCACATGTAAGACAGATTTTTTTCCAGAATCAAATCACAAGTAGCTGGTCTGCTCTGGTCACATACCAAGTAACAGTAATCAAAGTCAAGTTCCTCCCATTGTGAAACTAGTGGATCTTGGGATGAAATCCATCTGATTTCTACTCTGAACCTCACTGAGAGAGGCACACTTACATAATGGAATTTAACTTTTTTAGACCAATTTAAGCCTGAGCAAAAACCAAAGGAGACATTCTTGTGTGATTTTGTCGAGTATCATGCCACAACCTGTATTCTATATCCACATATAATTGGCCTTCCTCACCAAAAAAAAAGTCCTGAAGTTTCTGGCAAATATTCTGTCTGCATCTTTGAAAGTACATCTGCCTGGGAATTCATAGGCTCCCACTGTGACCTCTCCCATCAGCAAAGAATATTAGTTTCACATATGAAAGGGTTGATGGTAGTGTTGAAAGACAGAGGGAGTGTTTTCAAACAAGTAGACTCCTGAACTTTCTATTCCGAGAACTACTGTATCAGAATACCACTCCCAACCTCTTGTCTATCTGACAACAGCACTGGGGAAAGAATAAAATTTAATTAAATTATATAATACATTACATTTATGTATTGAAATAAAATTTAATAAAAAGAAACAAAGGCTTAGCATGAAGCCAGTACAAGATTCAGATTCACGGTCAAGCCTGGCTATTACTATACACGCTCATAAACTGAAAGATCTGCAAAACTGTTGAATCACTAACTACAGGGAACAGATCAGTGCTTGAAATATGTCATCAAAACCTGGCTATTTCAACACGTAATTGAAAGAGACACAGGAAAAAAAAAGCTCACCATTTTCTGATTAGCTTTGTCTCAAGCACCATACAAACCACAAGGAAAGCATGCAGCCTCACAGATCAGGTCACACAAGGATTTATGCTAACCTTATAAAACTATAAACATTTTACAGCTCAGCAGAGTTAGCCACCCTCATTCCAGGGTCAAGATTAATATTACTGGCAAAGCAAGGTAGCTCCCCAATTATAAAAGAAAACTGATGAAACATTTCCTTCCAGTCCTTCAGATTTTGGAATTACTCCTCATCTTAACAAACATCAGCTCTATTCAGATGTTGCATTTTCCCCAGAAGAAACTCCCTTCATTTTCTACCACCCAAAAGCTGGTTGTCCTAAGAAGAGACTAGATCCTTTCTTAGTCAGGGTTCAAGCAATATTCTTGACACCATAATACAAAGCAAGACTTACTCAAAAGCTTCTCTGAATCTAAATTAAGTGGCTATCCTCCTGAACTTTAGGAGGCATACCTGGACAAGCACAGGACCCAGTCTGTATCTCATAGTTTCACTTTCTTGTTTTTCTAACAACTTTACAAGTCCCCAATGGCCTGTTTCTACTGCTTAAACTTTTACATAAGTCATGTAAGCCTATAAATGTCATGCTTCCGTATTTGACAAGAGTAACACTACAGTTTTAAAATGCAAAATTTTTACCTAAGGTGTAACACATCAATGTAACACAGGACAATGAAAGGAAAACACATGAAACCATGTTTCCCCTCCCCCCCCCTTAATTCTACATTCACATAACTTGTAGCTGTCCTAATAAAACCGATTTTGCCCCATTAATCCTAATACCATACTAGTCTCAGAAAACTAGCTTAAATACTTCAGCAGTAAGTTTTAATAGACATCAGGTAATTTTTTGCCTCTCCTTTCTGTATTAGTATTGCTCAAAACACCACCACATTAACAATACTACACTTCTGCTTTTCCTCAACTGAGCACCTACCCTACAGATTCCTTGACTACTGCTTGTCAACAGTTAAAAGACTAAAGCTCAACAGTGCACCCAGGCCCCAGCACAGACATCTAAATAACAGAATTTCAAGCATTCTTCCATCCCACTTACACTGCCCATTGCCTGTTTTCAGCAGTGCTTGAAAAGCAAAAACAGAGAAGAAAACATAACACACAAGACAGACAATGAAACACTGCAATAAGTAATGTCAAATATACTTTGCATGCTAATCAATCTACTACTCACTGCTCCTTTTAAGGAGTAGACAAATTCATCATCCTATTTACACTGCCCCGTCTCAAAGTCAGGCTGCAGTTACATACAAACTCTAAGAAACAGCTCAGCTTATTTAACTTTTTTTTTGTAATCTTAAAAAAGTATTTTTAAAGGGTTCTTTTCTCTGAGTGCATAATGAAAAATAATTACTGATTTAGCCACTACTTTAATGTAAAAAGACTTTTTATAGCAGCATATCTCTCTGTAGCATCTTCTTTTTCTTCCGACCACACATTATCTTCAGCATTGATCTAAGCTTTTAAGTCTAATCGATTAGGATTGCTGTGCTACGTCTTATTCCCCTTTGCTCTAAGAACCTGAACGTTCAAAAAAATGAAACTGTTTTCCATCAAAGGCAGTGAATACGGGAGCAAACGATTACAGGTGCGGGCAGTTATGGCACATACCCCCTGTCAGCTGCTATAGACTTCTGCTGGACGCTTCCAGGAGGTTCCTCCACTCGGCTCAGCCCGCGCTGGGTTGTACCAGCGGCGCTGCGCAAGAGCAGCATCGTCCCGTGCTGAGGACACCGGTGGTCAGCGCGGCCCCCCGGCCCCGGGAGTGCGCCCAGCCCCACAGCCGGCTCCGCTATGCGCCGGTGCGGGCATGATACGCCTCTACGGAGGCAAAAATGGCCAGAAACGGGCAACAGGTCAACCCAGCTTCCCCTTGGTGGTCAAAACTGGCTCTAAATGCTGCCTAGGGCGCGTCTAGAGGGGGGGTCGACCACGGCTCCCTCGAGGCAGCAGGACCAAAACGCTGCCGGTCCGCCCCTCCTCCCTTACCGGGCCCAGGAGCTGACAACCGCCCGTGCCGACAGCGCTCGGCGCGTCCCCTCGTCCGCCGGGAACGGCAGCACCTGGGTGCGGGGGGAGGTTAACCCCTCTGGGGGGGGCTGCCAGCACACCAACAGCCATCAGGGGAGCCGGGACCCTTCTCCTCTGCCCAGTTCTCCGAGGCCGCGCGCGCCGCACCGCGCTGAGGGAAGGCCCTGCCCGGCGGGCGAAACTTCCTATTAAGGGCCCCGCGCCCGCAGCCCCGGGCCCGCAGCGCTCTGCGGCGCCGCCATGGCGGGGCCCGCCCGCCCGCCGCGGCTGCGCGCTCCCGGCGGCGGGAAGCGGCCCTCCCCTCCCTCTCCTCCCCGCCGCCGCTGCTGCTGCACCTGCTGCCGCGAGGGAGGGCGATGCGGCGGGGCCGGGCAGCGGGGCGCCGCACAGCCCGGGACGGGACGGCGCGCCCCAACGGCCCCCCACCCCGCACACCCCTCCTCCCCGTCGCTCCTCGCGGCGCGCCCCACACTCACCCACGCTCCGGTAGCCCAGGATCGCGATCTTGCGGGACTTGGACGGCGGCATCTTCTCCCCGCCCAGCCCCGAACCACATCAAGGGCGGCGGCTGCGGCGGCGGCGGTGTCGGTGTCGGCGGGCAGCTGACGGGGAACGGGGCGCGCCGCCAGCGACATGCGGCGGGGGGCGGAGGGGGAGGGGCGGCGGAGCGGCGGCCCGACCGCACGGGACCCGCGGCGCCTGGCAGCAGCGGCGGCGCCCGCCCCACGTGACCGCCGGGCTCGCCAGCCCCTCACGTACCTGTGCGTCACGCGTCACAGGCCGGAGCGGCGACCTCGCCGCCGCCGAGAGCCGGCGCCAGGCGCCGCGAGGGGAAAATCTCCCTGCGTCATGCCTTCCCCCGGCCCGCCCCCCGCGCAAGCCGATTGGGTGGCGTGGCGGCAGCGCGGGCGGTGATTGGCGGAGGGCGGCCGGCCTGCGGTTAACAGACGGCGTTCAAAGCGAGCGGGGGAATTGAAGCTTGGGCGGGAGGGTGTGGGGAAGGTGTGCGCGTGCGCGGCCGCCGCGGGGGTGGCTGGTGTGTCCCGCGCTGCCGGCTCCAACGGCCGCCGCGCCCCTGAGGGGAGAGCGTTACCCTTACCCGCCATCACCGGCGCCGCTTCCCGGCCACACGGAGAACCCGAACCGCTGTCCCTTGATGGCCCAGAGCGCAGCTGGCCGTTGGCAGCTGCCGGCTTCCCTGTCAGGGCGGCCGCGCTGACACTCCGTAGACCCGGAGGCTCCAAGGACGCCGGCGCAGGGCCGCCCGTCCCTAAGAGGGTCTCTCCGTCAGAACGCGGCTCTCGTTTAAAATGATGTCGGTGATTCTTCGGAGCGTTCCCTTCAGGGCGCCCTGAGAGCGTTCCCAATCACGCAGACAAACGTCTGGGGAAGCGCCGGTTTTGAGCGTCTCTAAAGTATTGGCAGTTGCACGTAAAGTGAAGGGAGTTTCTGCGTGTGGAAAAATACCGTTAACTGAGATCCAAGCGGTGGTGAGTTTTCCACCTGGAAAAAAGTGAGTGCTGCAGGTGATAATAGTGACTTAAACACTTAATGGATGCAGAAGTTCAGGGAGAAAGAGGAGAAAATCGGGAAACATGCCTTTTCCCCCCCTCTTCTGCTACTTATTTTGAACACACTTTTGGCGATACCCATTTCACATTTTCTTGAAAAGTGAACATTTCTTAGAAATACATTGGGGTTTTACATGCATCTTGTCCTTTTGGGGGCTACACTGGTACCTAACATGAAAATATGCCAGGGTACAACTCACTGATACAAATAAACCAACCCAACAGCTTCATGATGTTAAGGGAGATGGGCTGCCACATTCTCCCTGATTCTCAACCATTTATCCAACTGGGTAAGAGGGCAGGGAACTAAAGTAAAACAATGAGTTATTTATACACAAAAACAACAGGCTTCTGAAGAAGCAGATAGCTTTAAGGATATACCTGGGGTTTGGGGAATATGCTGATTATACGTGTCATAGAATGGTTTGTGTTGTAAGAGACGTTAAAGATCACCAGCTCCACCCCCTTACCACAAGTAGGGGTACCTGCTAGACCAGGTTGCTCCAAGCCCCCTCCAACCTGGCCTTGAGCACTGCCAGGGATGGGGCAGCCACAGCTTCTCTGGGCAACCTGTGCCAGGGCCTCACCACCTTCACAGTAAAGTTTTTCCTAATGTCTAATCAAAATTCCCCCCCTGTCAGTTAAAAAACATTCCCCTTTAGCCTATCACTACCTGCCCCTGTAAAAAGCCCCCTCTCCAGCTTTCTTGTCAGCCCCTTTAGGCACTGGAAGCTGCTCTAGGGTCTCCCTGGCGTCTTTTCTCCAGGCTGAACAAGCCCAGCTTTCTCAGCCTGTTTCTGTAGGAGAGGTGCTCCAGCCCTTGGAGCATCTTTTTGGCCTCTTCTGGACTCACTCCATGATCTGGATTATAGGATCATCATTATAGTCATCTAGATTATAGGATCATAAAACCAAGTACTGGTAACCTGTGAACCAGCACATATGATGTCCTTGAGTGGATCGGTACATGACAAACAAATAGTTATTTCATGAGAAAACAGGGAGTTTATGTACTTTGTCAGTGATGACTGCGGTCACGATCATTATGCATGCTCCTTCTCCATGTCCAGCCTCTCTAAAACGCTCATTGCAGTACAGATTCCCAATTCACCAGAGCTCTAGAGCACCACGCTGCAGGGATTGGTGCAATGCTGCCACACAGATGAAGGGGTTGGGCCTCCAGGAAGAGAGTAGCATGTGGAGATCCTACCTTTGTGAGCAGTCATACTGTTTAAGGCTCTCCAAGCAGTGCAGAGGGATAGTCCTGCCCAGCATAGATCACTGTATGCCTTGTCTTGCTTGTTTTAAAATACATAAATCTTTTTGAGACACATGGATTGCAGGACCCTCCCTTGTGTAGATCTGGAGCTGTGCTGTCATCTTTGCACTTGCAAAATTTAGGATGAGCCAAATTCACTGAAACAGAGGTCTGAAAGAACTGAGATAAGGGTTACCTTCAAGGGGTACAAGTGGATTTAGAAACGTGGGTGAAGTTAGTGGTAGTCATGCTTCCAACTTACGTATCCTTACAGTTTTCATTCCTTGCACGTTATATTTGGGCACTATGCTTTTCATGCTGCTGAAACCTAATTGTGTTTTCAGAAAACACATTCATACCCTTCCACATGCTCAGAGTGGTGAGCATCAGTATTCTTTAATTCGTGAGAGTTTCTGGGTTTGCTGTCTCCTTGATGGCCCGCTTCTCTTGATTAGGTCTTTTCCCTTACCCTGCTCACCTTTTGGACCCTTTTCTATTTGTCTTGTTCCCATTGTTACGCACTTGTTCACTCTACTCACTTACAAGAGCTCACAGCTGCAGGGTTTCTGATTCCCCCTTCAGCTGCTTTATGTACTGCCTCTACTTGCAATGGAGTCGGCCCACCTTAGGATACGCTCCACACTTGCTCAGCCTGTGTAGTGGCAGGGACACAGAGCTCACCCTTCTTGGGCATGGGTGGGTAGAACTTGTAGAAAAAACAACACCTTTCCTTTGTTCTGTTGGTTCTTTGGAAAGAGTTAGCTAATAATCCTTATTCCATCAGGATCATGTAAATTCTTTGTTCTATCTTGACCAGGAAGCTTGAAATACAGGCAAGTACAGAGCTTTCAGGGAACTTCGTCATTTCTCTATGCTCTACGACTTGGTGATATCACTGACTGGGACGCCGCTATGCGAACGGTGCCAGGTTAAGCAGAGATGTGAGAATCTTGATGGCAGTAAGGCTGTCATTGCATTTCTCCTGCCCAGATGAAGCATGAACGCTTCCTGCTCTGGGGCAGAGGAAGAACACAAGTTTAGCTGTGATTGTCTGATCAGTGCATTTTGCACTCTTTGAATTCCTATTGTTTGTATGTTTAGGGCTGAACAGCTTCACATACTCACTAAGCACCCCTTTGCTAACATTCTCTCCCCCCTCTAAGAGTCTAAGTGTGATGGTCAGGTTGTGGTTTCACAGTGCAGCATTCTGTAGCGGCGGCAGCTTTATGGATGAGGGCTTTGCCTGTGCACTCCCTGGCCCTAGTCCAGCTTCTTCATTTCTAGTGTTTGCAAGCTGTGCTGTGAACTACAGTGGAACTTAGAAAACTCTGGGACAAGTGACATACACCATGCACCAGCTCTATTCCAGGCTTGCTTTGCATCTCACTTCAGCAGATACTCCTTCAGCTCAAATGTGACTTTTGGCTCAGTTCAGATAATAAATCACATTAATTTATTGTAAATAAGTTAACAATAAACAAGTGCAATGAGTGCAACATGTCAGGTATGGCCTAGGTTTTGAAAGAAAGAATATCAAAAGGGAGAAGTGCAAACACCAATAGAGTATGTGTTTGCAGTGAGATCAGGAACAGAGGTTGAGGGAGGCTGCAAAAACAGAACCTGTCTATCTTTTTTTGTGACAGAGAAAAACCATGATGAATTTCATGCAGTAAATGTAACTCAACAATCAAGTATTTTTATGATAATACAGTACATGCAAACCCACAAACACGCTGCTACTCAGATTCCAAATGCAGAACAGCTCTGACTTGTACACTGAATTCCTGTAACAGCAATTACTGGCGTAATTACCTGCTCTGTCCCTTGGCAAATCAAGACCTTCCCGAGGAGTTTTTTGAAGTGTGTCCAGTGTTTGCATTGGGCATGCTTCCACACGCACAGCACAGGCTCTGCTGCCCACAGAGGTTACAAAGTACATTGAGTTCCATCTTATAACTTGTGCCTGCTACCTCCTGCATTTTCTCAGTGATCGTGTTTTCCAATATTCAGACAGAAACACTGGCAAAATGATAGAAGAAGCAAATTACGGAATTAACTCAGTTCACAGGGGCTGTTGGCATCACAAGTGCTGGTAGGCAGCTGGCAGGCATGCACTCTATAGCTACTTTTTTTTTTTTCCTAAAGGAATGAGTGTGCTCTATGAGGACAGGTCACCTCCTGTTCCCATCCACCTCAGGTCTAACTGTAATCATCAGAATACAAATGGAGACCAAGAAAGTGACTTTCAAAACCACATTTAAATTAAGGCCTGAAGACTGAAGAGCAGTGTCTGCAGAACATTATTTTTGCATAAATGCATTATGTGGGTGCAAGGGTAGTATTAAATTATTTAGAATGACATTTTCCTCTGGAAATTACCCCTAGTAAGTGTTCAATATGGGTGAAAGTTCATAGAAACTTTTGAAGTAAACCGGTTACTTCTAAAACTGGCTGGAGAGCTCAGCATGAACAGTTAAAGAGCCTGCTGTGTGACAGGATTAAGCACACATGGTTTCACTTCTAGATGGACTAAAGCTGAAGGACTCCAACTTACCCTGTGCTCTCTTGAAAGATGGCAAGAAATGCTCTCAAAGCACTCCTTGCCATGTCAGGCAGATTCCTGTTGTCTGCTGTGAGGACAAGAGCTCATGCCTTGGAAAGCAAGGCTGGTTCTTTCTGCGTTACCTGAACATTTCCAACAGAGTAATATTCCTTAAGGAGACAGATAAACCTTGGATATGCAACAATTGCAGCTCAGTCCCCAGTAAACAGCAAATATTATCTGCAGGGTCTCAAAGATATCAGACCTTTTAATTACATGGATTTCAAAGAAAACATTTTTATCAGTCAAGTGATCAATGCCAGCAAAAGGTGATTTTTTTCCCCATGATGTTTCTCTTAGATACTGAAAAATATTGAGGACTGAAATTTACTAAGACACATTTTTCTTGTACCTAAACAGCTAAAAATATCTAAAGTGGGTACAACCCAACAATCTGCTCCCTTCCAAGATGGCTTTTAGAATTATTTTTCACAGACCTTCCTTGCTAGGCAAGCAAATGCACAGGGAAGCACAGGAATCACTCGCATGCTTTACAGTTCTGCATCCATTTCTGGAGCATCTCAACCTCCAGCTGGAGGATCCTCTGCACTACTGAACAGGCTTTGGGCAGTGTCACTGGAAGCTTCTTCCTGCCATCTCCATGTGCAGCACAGTCCTGTCTGGTGAAAGAAAGGGAGCACCTGGAACCATGGCTATGGTCTCAGGTCTGCCCAGACGAAAAATATGCAAGAGCTGGAGTTCAGTGACATCTCATTCTTCTTTCTCCATGGCTTCTCATGAGCCATGTAAGGAGCCCTGAACCTATAAAGAAAGCTTTACTTGCACTGTCACTTTAACCTGGTACCTGCAGCTGTGCTGCTGAGTCACCCTGCCTTTCTCTACCCTCACTTATTCCTGTCCCTCTCTTATGCTGGAGCAAGCATTTTTCTAGCTCTGTAGTAGACGATCTGTATGAAAACTAAAGTGATTTCTTAGTTTTGCTTACTGCATCAGCATTGGTACTTGTGCCAGGACAAGCAGAATGCTTTTCTACCAGCACTGCTGTTTATTCGTGCTGCAGCATTGCACTGTGATTCTACTTCCCACAAATTCAAAGTAATTCCAGAAAGTAAGGGGGAAAATGCTCTAAATACAGTTCTGTATCACTGAGGAGGCTGGGATATCCCATAATCGGGTAGTCCTGCATCCACAGGACATCCACAGCACATCCACAGCACTTGTAACATGTTAAAATAGGAGGTTTGTATATGGTTGTTCGTAAACTGCCAATTCATTCTGGCTTGCTGTATGCTGCTCATTTATGCAGACAGACCCAAAGCTGTCTGTGTGGAACAGGGCCAAAAGACTTTCTGCTAGAAAACAAAGAATATAAAAAAGTACTTATCAGTGGTTTAACCCCTCTCTTCAAAAAATACCTTGAATATAGGACTGGAGAATATGCTCATGCAGACTAGTGATGGGTGGAGAGATCTCACGATGCATTTAGGTAGTCTTCCATAGGGGTGCTGGAGCAGTACCTGCACCTTCACAAAGCTGCAGCTCTGGTGGCACTGCTGACCACATCCCCTCCATACAAGATTCTCCTCTACCACAAGTTATCCCCCACACCACATGAAGAACAAAAGCAGCTATTTTTAGTTTCTGTCATTCCATCTCCCCAAAGATAATGAGAGCTGTGCTGATATCATCTCTGATGGCAGCAATCAACACCAGACCTGAAGGTCACTGCTGTTAGGCCAACCCAGCTATCTCAATTCAACACCATCTGAAATTGCAGGGAACAGCATCAGTATTTACCTGGTCAGAAGAAGTGCTGGAAGAGACATGACAGTGTTTTTCACAGAGTAAGAGAGAAAGAGATAAAGTCTGACAACAGTTTCCATTACGTACTACAGGAAGGTTTTCATACATTAAAGATGCCAGTAAGAATGAAATTTTCTACACATCTAGTTCAAAATTTAAATTCTCATAGAAAGGGTAAAAGTTCTGAAGAAAGGGTTTTTCATGACTCTGAAAACCCTCACATTTCTTAAGCAAACAAAAAACTGATAACCTTTTCCACAGAATCATAGAATCGTTAGGGCTGGAAGGGACCTTAAGATCATCTAGTTCCAACCCCCCTGCCATGGGGGGGGGACACCTCACACTAAAGCATATCACCCAAGGCCTCGTCCAACCTGGTCTTGAACACCGCCAGGGATGGAGCATTCACAACGTCCCTGGGCAACCTATTCCAGCGCCTCACCACCCTAACAGGAAAGGGTTTCCTCCTTATATCCAAACTAAACTTCCCCTGCTTAAGTTTTAACCCGTTACCCCTTGTCCTATCACTACAGTCTCTAATGAAGAGTCCCTCCCCAGCATCCCTACATTTTTGCTCAAGGCTTATAAATGGAAAGAGAAGGATTAATTTACTGTGCTATTCCAGTACAGTATCTAAGTTGGAAAGACAGTAAAAAGCTGTACCACCTGCATTACTCCATTAGCACAAGCCACATTTAAAGTTGAAAGAAAGCAAGAATGCCTCTATCCCTAGTTTGCACTAATCAAAATGCACATACATTTATTCATACATGCAAAAGAACTGGGCAAGAACTGCTAAAACCAAACTGGTGTTTTAGGGTTTAATTTCTTCCATCTACAAGGATCTACAGTTATAAAAGTCTCATCTTCAAACTTTACAGTACATTTACACATGAGCAAATACCCCACAGCTTTCCTCGCTCCTCTGCATCTGTACAAGTTATATACAATAAAAAGTTTGTGTACAAGCATTGTTTTACACTTAAATACAGATGAAAATCTTGTTTTGTGGCACCTTGTTTCCACCACAGTGCCTGCATGTTACAGTACGGAGCACACCGGATCCATGCTTCTGAGATCTTGAGCGCAAGTAATATGGACTGATCAACAGGCCACAGCTTCCGCAACTCCAAGGTTTTAAATAATGAGAAGATCTACTGCTTGTTTGTATAACAATCAACAGTTTATTAATGGATATGGTGAAATTTTAGCTATCCACCAAGAGATGTGTAAAAAATTGTCATGAAAGTAAAAATAAATAAAGCCATTTTTAAAATCAGTCTTGTTTTACATCTTGGTTCAGAATGCAACATTTAACACAAAACTGTCATTGAAGTTTGAAAGAAGTCTACCGATATTCAAATTACAGCTTTTATGACAAATCTAATGAGAACTGAAACTGATTTGGTTTTAGGTTTAAAGACGTTCACATTCAAATACAGTGTCTCGTTTAGCACAATACTTCCTTTGACAGTGATGGGCAACAGTGATGACATATTGCTGTATTTTGACATAAGGCACTATGATATGAATATGCCATACACTTGCCTTATGTCACATATATCCATTGCTGACCAGTGACTTCTGTCAAATACAAAACGAAAAAGTTTCAGAATACAGTGCATTTTAATGAAGGACATCATGTGAAGTCTTCCAGCAAATGTTTTGAAGACATTTTGAAATACAAGCCTACATTTTAACATAAGCTTTTGTCATGCTGCTTTTTTTGTGACATCACTGGGGGGAATAGACTCATCATCCATCACTAAGTCCCAATACACATTCTCAACCATCCTGCTCTGTTCTATTGCAGTCACCGTTCTTGAGACAAACTTGACCCAGAAACTTTGTTCAATTTCTCCTACAAACGTGTGTACATTCACCGCAGTCATTCACTTTCAGGCTCCTTTTGTTTGGCACCTGTTAACAGAAGAGGAAAGCGCGTGTAATTTCCTTACGCACATAGCACTTGGCTTCTGGAAAAGCACTGCTTATTCTGAATGCTGGAGCTTTGCCTAACCACAGCACCAGAACCTTTGTACTGGATACCATTTATAAAGAAGATACTGCAGGATTGCTAAATGCTAATGTAAAGTACAGTGAGGAAGGCATCAAGACCATTATTGCATCTAACTTCACTGGCAAGTCTAAGTAACTTCTGGCAAGTTCCTAATAGTGGGCTTGCAGGATTCTCCCCAGTACAAGAATGTATTTTAAAAACCCTCAATCAAAAAGCCACAGCCCAGACCTGTCCATCAGCTTAGAAGCCAAGCTTAATCTTCATAACAGCCTCAAAAATTCATGTCCTGCTTGAGAACAAGCTATGTAAGAATTCAGTTTAGCTACACTGTGTTGATGGACCTATTTTTCCTGGCTCAGAGGCAGATTCTGCTTACAGTAGGGATCTGAGAGACCTGTTCAGCAGGATTGCACAGCACCTTGCTTCTTCTCCAAGTACTCAAACCAGCCACATGCTGGGCAATGACTGAACCATACTGTGAGTTTGGCTTGAGCATCCAGCTCTAGAAATCAAGCACCTCTTGCCAGCAACCTGGAGTTACTACTTGTGTAATCAAACACTGAAATACTTGTTAAATACATCCAGTTTATACATCACAACCGATACCCCCCCAACCCAACCCTCCAGACTTTATAAACAAGATCTACACCACAGACATCCTCACCCTTACTTCACGAGACAAATTCCAACCTAAATTTTCCATGGAACTGCAATCTAATGCCCAGCTATTCCTAAGGAGGCCTTCCCTCACCTTAGCTTTTCCAGTGGCATAATCCTGCTTTCCGTTCCTCTAACCCCTGTACTCAGTACGAAACTCATCTGTGAGCCAGTTTAGCATGCCAAACAGATAAAACTCTGCAGTTTTTGCTGGCTCAGTTGCCTGCTAGATCAATGATTTAAAGCAGCCCACAGAGGGATCTCCTGAGTGTGGGTGCTGCCTCACACTAAATGCCAGAAGCACATGGCCCAGAGTATGGGAGCAGAAACTACCCATTTTAGTAACAGAGCACCGTTATATCGGCTCATGGAGTTACAACTTAAGTGTCCATGTAACTTCAATATGACAAAGCTCTTGGTTTGTCAGTGTCCAGATCTATCTTTTCTTTCTAAACTCCACTCCACCAACAGTAATGTTCTACTCTCCTTAGATCCTTCTACCCTCTAGTCATGAGGCAAACTATCTCCTCTGCCTGGAGAGGCACAGTCTGCCCATCTTTACACCTCCCTCTTAGAAGGGACATACACCCCTCCATTATCTTTCTAGGAAATGAGCCCACTTGACCCAGGCCTTTTGGCTGATTTCTCAATCTGATCCATACCTTTCACAGAAAGCTGGGTTTCCTGCTCTTCCAGGTCATTCCTGTGTAACATTACCTAGGTGTTCCTGCTCCGGCAGGGGGATTGGACTAGATGATCTTTCGAGGTCCCTTCCAATCTCTAGCATACTGTGATACTGTGATTAAAAGGAACCAGATGCACTGACATAATACCTCTGGCAGTATCACTGATCACTTTCTTTCAAGGTAGGAACCTTACTATTTCAAAAAGCTGCACTAACTTTTCTTAAATCTACAGAGGAGAAACACTTTTACATTATCATGTTATCTATCAGTGCAAGTAAGAGGTCCCAGTTAAGATCATATTTAGAGGTTTTTTTAAGTACGTATCCACTTCCATTCATTTAATCATTTTTGAGTTTGGGTTGTTTAGGTTTCTTTTGAGGCAAAACTGTAACCCTAAAGACATAATTTTTGTCTTCCTCACAAAGCCAAAAGAGGGCTTTGCTTTAGTTATTGTGACACTGAAGCCATTTATGTGGTCTCAGTTAAGTTACAATTAGGAACATTAAGCAGGTTAGTAACTTGGGCAAAACTTGAAAGAAAAAAAAAAAATCCAAATCCAATCCAAAACCAACCCCCCTCAACCAACTGACATAAAAGTAGCAGAAATAAATCTACTATTGGACTTTCTTGTTAAAATGAACCTGATCATGGTTAGTAATACACTAGAGATTTCTACTGGCATAATTCTGATGGCCTGAGGTGCCATTTCCAACACAGATGTGCCAACCAAACCCCACAGCATGGCTGGACAACTGCAGGGCTCAAAGGAGGTGGGCTTGCAGAGCTAGTGGAAAGCACAGCCTTGTCCACACGAGGAGCACTTGGCCAGAGTACTGAAACTCAGGAAGCTGGAGAAGGCACCCTGTTGTCTATTCAACTTCATCCTGTTTTTCTTGTTAAAACGTTAATCAAAACCTTTTCCCTAAAAGGATACATGAACAGTAATGATATTCACGAAGCTTCTGCATGCATTTCTCAGGGAATGAAAGACTGACAGTATTTTATCAGCTTTTTTCTGAAGAGAAATAAATACTGTATGTAAGAACTATGACTAACCAGATACAAAGTTGAAAATCAAAAGCTTCTTATTGTCAGTTACATTAAAACCAGCAGGGTGCACACACTACCAAACGACTTATGGCAAAGGTGAGAAGACAATGTTCATACCTGCAGGTGTGAGTACCAAAGCCTGTAGAATGTCAGAAAGTGAGATAATACCCACAATGCTATCTGCTTCATTCACTACCACCAAACGATGAACCTGCCAGCAAGGAAAATATTTTGAGAGATATTTGCCTTATTTAAAGTAACAGCTGAAGCAAAGAAAAACAACAGTAAATCTTAAAGTAACGCAGTATGAAGACAAGTAGAAAAAAAACAAGTGGTTCAAAAATGTTACCAATACCAATCTCACTCAGCAATACAAACAAGCTTGCCCTACATAAATGAAAACAAGTGCATGTTTAAAAAACACAGAGCTATCTGACACAGCAACAAAATCAGATTTGAAGTGACAGGTAAGCCAAGATCTAGGTCTTTAAAGTACTTCTGCTCTCAAAAATTGGCACTCACAGCAAACACTTTTCCTCAGCTTTGAGACTCTGCCCAACACCTGTGATCTCAGAGTAACATATAGGAATAAAATGAGGCTTCCTTCTGAAAAATACTTTCTCAGAGTGGCACAGCACTAAGATTTGTTGTATCATGACATGTCTAAGTTGGTTTTCGCTTTATTTTTCTTGTAGGGCTACATGACAGAAAGTGTTTAAGACAAAAAACAAATTATTCAGCTTATCTGTGCAAGTTCACTGGAGAATTAAACATACACAACTGGGAAGATTTATCAAAACTAAGTGTATTTTCACATAATGATCTTATCCTTACAAACCTATTCCGTGAAACATTTTATACTAGAAAACTTTTGTTCTAGCTGTAGGGGAAGTAGGTGAATATTCCTATATCCTGAGCGAGACTCATTGACCAAAGCAGGCTACAACAGTGGAAGACAACTGCAGAACCAGGAAAAGTGTCTTAACATCATGCCTGGCACCAGAGCCTGGTGCAAGTGGGCAGAGTTTTATAACCTAAACATCACAGCTGAACCAGCTCATAAGTGAGGGATCCTAAAAAGGGTGTTTGTCCAAAGCTGAGAGCCTACTATGTGTTTACTTTTTACCTAAGTGAATTCCCTCTTCACAATAAAGTTCAAATATTCAGCTACAAGGGTAAAAAGGACGTTTCTCATCTCCTCACAGAGGAGACAGCAAGAAAGATACATCAGTCTTGATTTAATAGGTATGTTAATTTATGCTTGAGGTCAATCACTTTGCTGCTAATCAGATACAAGAAAAGAGAAGCTCTGAATTTTTTGCACAGTCATACCCACCTGACACTGGAAGGAAAGGAGAGAGGTGGGAACAGACAGAAAAATACTGCTGCATTTTCTTTTTCATGAAAAAAAGAAATTGTGATTTTTTAGACATGGTTATTAGGTTTTGTATATGCACATATTTAATAACTTTATTCTTCTGTCAGTGTAATGAATTAAAGAAAAATGGACAGTGTATTTGTTTCATTTCCAGTAAGATCAAGCACTTGCCTGGCAGCTAAATATAGCTTGTAGTTTTGACTGACTCATTTTTACATATAATCTCGCTATGTTTAGACTGAACCAAAGGGTAGGAGTTATTCTTAAAACCAAATGTCTACCACCTGTTAACATAGCAACAAAATTACCTAAAATTATTCCATTTCAGGCAGAAGCTCAAGCAAATGCAGAAAGTTACAAGCAGAAATTGCTTAATGGAGGTTCTAAGGGGTTATTAACAAAGTGGAAGTTTCACTTGTATCAAGTACATGCATGGTTACAGCCCGGATGCTGGGAAGAATAATCTTGTAATTGAAAAAAGCTGAAGCATTTAAATGGAGTTGACCACACTTCGAAGACAACTGTAGCTGGTAATACTGATTTTGTTCTGTAGAGAGATGTATCGGGGAGGAAGACTTACATACTCTTTCATCTCTGTGTATAAGATCCCAGTATTAACAAACAAAATAAACAGTACCAAAGCACAGAAAACATTAACTAGTTGTACCCATTAAATTTCCTGAGCCATAGGCCAATCAATCTAGCTAGAGGAATTGTCTGCAAAACTCATGGCAGGCTTGGAAGAAACACGATTCTTTCAAGAAATCTTTGCATTCAGTTCAGTTATGTCATAAACCAGAAATGCAAATAACCGAGTATTATTACAGATGTACTATACGATACTTTGCACACCCCTGTAAGCACCTATAATTAAAGTCCATAAAGCAAACTGATACCCAAAACATGTAGTTATGCAAAAATACTTTCAGCAAGTAACAAAAATAACTTAGAAAGGATAGATTTGTATTATTTATTTGCAATACAACTTTTAACTTACAGTGAAGGGAAAAATAAAAAGCCAACTCACTTCAGCTTTCACTATTCTATCCACAATGGTCTCCAGTGTTTCCAGCATACTACACTTTACGACACCTTCAAAATACTGAGAACGGTGCTGTAGGGCTTGCGTCACCGTGATATCTAGGTTATTATATGTTTTTTCAGCAGCAAGATTCTGGAAAAGCAAAACAACAAGGCACATAACACATCTCAATAAAGTACTCACCAGAGTAAATATATTGGCATCAAGTAGATACACATTTCTGGTGCAAATGGAGTCTATTCCAAGTCACATATTAAACAAAGCAATTGCTCTTCAGCTTCATTTTCTGAGAACAGTCAAGCATGCAATTATGTTAACCCAGTCTGTCATACAGCATGTAACTGATAAAACTGGTGATATGCATTATGCCAGTGAAAATCTCCTTACTTTGCTGGCTGATATTTGGCTTGATGTCATTCATCCCGCTTTTGACATGAGTAGAAAATGTAAAGATGAAGTTCCACAGATTTTAGAATATACAGTATTTATTTTAAGAATATGCTTTTTTTGTTGTTGTTTTTCCATAGGATAGGGGAGAACACCAACTGCTCTGAACACCACCCATAAAGTAGATCTCAGTTAAGAGCTAAGCAGAAAGCCAATTTAAAAGTTTTCATCACCTCTCATTTGTGGGCTCAAACTCCCTCTCCTGGACTAAACTGGCACTGCCATTTAATAACTATACATTTCAGTAAGTACTATAAAAAAAGTCATCAATGAAAACCCATTACCACCACTAAAAGTAATAAAATTAGAAAACTTTGAAAGCTGACATGGTCAACTTTCATTTTAAGAACAGGACCATGCTTGTAACAAGAGGAATTTGTCCAGACTAGCAAAAGCTTTCTTTGTAGTGAGACCATTGCAGTATTTTGATAGTGTTGGTGCATTCTGGCCTACTGATTTTGCGTACTCAAGCACTGAAGGAAGAAAGAAAAAGGAAAAAAAAAAAAAAAAGAAAACACTGGACAAATCAATGGAATTAATTTTTGGCTAGAATATACTGTGATTGGTCAGGTTTTTGGATTGAATTACTCTGAACATAACAAGATCAGTTGCAGATGATCATGAAGATACAAGCATGTTTAGTTAACTCATTTAACTAATTCCTAATGAAGACAGTAGGAAAACATAAAAAGCCTCTGCAAACTGAGATCACCCTGTACACAATGAACACTAACCTAAAGCTATTTCTATACCATCACACCATTTCCAGGTTTCTCCCATCAAGAACATGAAAATTAATTCAGAAGTCTTAAATCATCTATCAAGTTAGCCAGCTGTCTATACAGGCATGGCTTAAACCCCTGATGTAACTAAGGATATTAGCCACATGGCTTAAAGATAAAAATCACCAGTTGAATCTTGCAAATTCTATATTTATTGGAAGATCAGTTTATACATTTCACATATTTCCCCCTCCCCTTCTTTTAAAGCCAGCAGATCAGGCTGAAGCAGATGATAAAATTAGAAGCCTTTGAGATTATTATCTTCTAAGAAAAGAATCTTTTCCCTCCCATGTAATAAGCAGACTAGTCTTGAAGGACTCTGAGGAAGATCTTGAATAATCAGTAGATGCCCTAACTCTTTCCCACGTTACTAGCTGGAAGCAAACAATTATATCCTGAAGCCTTCATGATTTTGTTTGTTTCCCTCCCCAGATCCCAATACATAAATGTTTCCAAAGAAGAGATCAAGCATCTCTAAAAATCCTACAACTTCTGTTGCCTGTCACTTAAAGTCAGAAAAGAAGTGGAAAAACATAAAGAACCCTCTTCCTTTTGGTGCCTTTCTGAAATGGCATGGGAAATAGAGGAGAATCATCCTGCCTCAAAGTCTAACACAGTTGTAAAATTAAGTGGAAACACTGCATCCACCAACTGTGAAATTTCATTGTCTTTGATATGTTAGATCACTCCCGCTGCAGCTACCACCTATTCACTAACCAGCTTTTATGGCAGAAAAAGATCTTACAGAGCAGAAAATCCCTAAGAAGACAAACACCTAGAAAAGGCGGCAAAGACAGCAACATGAAATTTTCAGCATTAGGAGCACTGTTTGCAGGTAAAGACATTACAAGTTGAAGCATTTCCATTTGGGACTATTCTTCATTTCTCTGAAAGCATTCTACACAGCATTTCAGCCATCAGGATTCTTCATTAGCACTAGGAGGCTGGGCACTTCAGTGTCTGAAAAATAATGTAGCTATCAGAAGGCAGGTGCATTCAGATGGGAGAGGACAGGAATAAAAAAGCCCTAAATACGTTTTTCAAGAGCACAAGACTAGAAGAGCCCAGGCTCCCTGAGGCTGGCAAATCATGGCATGAATCTGACTATGCTGCTGCACTCCTGAGGGAAACCGGGATTCCCACCAGAAACTGGCCTGGATTGTATCTAACCCAGAAGGGAACACAGACGCAATCCTCTGGAGTCAGACTCACACAAAAGAATGAGCCAAGTATGTTCACTGAGAAGGTCAAGTTCTAGGAAATACTCAGACTGCTTGGAGAAATCTGCATTCTCTTTGAAAACAGAACGTGGAATAGCAGCGGCCAGGAATGGAAAATCCTATCTCAAAAATAGAAACAAGGATAAAAAGCCTATGCCCTCTTTTTGTAGGAGTACAGCCAGATCTAATTTTGGGTAACAACCAGAGCAGTAGATGCCTGTGTGCAAGTCCTATTACAAGGAGAGCCTAAATAATAATAATAATAATAATAAAGCTGTTCAGGGTGAATTGAATATGTTTTTTTTCATTTAACTAAAGCCTAAGGAACAAAATAGCCAAAATTTACATATTAACAAATTAATTTACAAATGCTTACTACATATAAAACATTTAATAGAATTTAAGAGATATACTTACTATTACATCAAATTTGGAATAAATATCTACAACTTTTCCTAAAAAGAAAAGCAAAAGTTAGTAAAGTGCTTGAAATACAAAATTAGTTTTCTTGCTTCCTGGTTTCATTTGTTATAATTACACAAAAAACAGACACATCAAGGAGAACCTGCCCCCCACCCCCCAGAAAAAAACGCCTACCAAACCATGAAGTGCTTCCAAGCCTATCAACCTACATCCTGCATAAATGTTTCTTTATATTCTCTTTTGCCCCTTACCCTCCCCTTGCCTTTTTTATTCTGTCTCCACCACCCAGCCCAACATCAGTCCAGGGTTCAGCACCATTAATCTTGCCACGCTTCTTTATAGAGAAGACCCAACACACACCTGACTCATCCACAACAGGTAATGCCGATATCCTTCTCTCTACAAATATATTCAAGGCTTTAATGATAGGAGTGTCTGGATGTATGAAGGCAATGTTGTGGTAAGTTCCTATTCCAAGTTCATCCAGATTCTTCTTCATAAAGGCAGGCTTTGGCATCTCTGACATCTAGGAAAGTCAGAATTACTGTATTTACAGAGCAGTTTTCTACAACCACCATTTTTCTACACCTACTATGCTTCCATATAATTGGTATGTGTATTAGGAAATCCATATTCACTCATCCATCTACAGACTCCAAATGATTGTTACAGACCCTCACAGTAATCTGCTACGAAATTAACGCAAAGCCAAAACAAGCTCACAGCTAGAAGTAGTATTTCTGTTCAAAGCTGCTCTAAATTAAGACTATATTACTACGTTTTCTCATTTATTTATTTTTGTAGTAACCCATCGCTAAAAGCTTTTGATCCCAAGGTGTCTCCTTCCCACTGGAACTGGAGAGAGATGACAGCAAGACATACTTGCTTATTTAGCACTCTTTTTGATTCATTGTGCTTCCTGCCTATTCCTGTGACTAATGTAAGCGACAGTGAGCAATGATAATCTCATCTCTGGGAGATGATTCATTTTTCTTTTCACGAAAACAAGCTTGTGAAGCTGGGTAGATCTTCCAGAAAGGACAGCAAATTACTCAGTAGCCAAAAGAAGTCCTTGCTGTTGAGGTTTCTTTAAATGACTAAAAGAAAGAAAAGGCAACGTACAGGTCCTACATCAAGCTCAAATTTCTCTGTTACCAAAAGGGATATGCACAGGCACAATGAATATGGAATTTTATCAGGAAGTTTCTGTACTAAGACTTAAATTACTTATCATTAAAGAGGTCTACTGGGGGAGAAAATCCATTAAACAAAGCATAACTTTAAATACTTACAAAAAGCTGGAGGAACTTGAGGATTCTTTTATGGGTAAGTATATAAAGTGCATTTCCACTGACTGGATCTATAACTGGCAATCTGTGGATTTTGTTTTTGATCAATGAATATACAGCATCAAAAAGGCTGAGGAGAAAAACATTTTTTTAAATAATTAATTCTAGCTGGCAATTAGTAATGTCAAGTGATATACACACAGGTTTACAAGCCCCCCATGAAGTACATACGATGAGAACTTACATTATTGTTAATGTTAAAGAAAACACTAAGGGATTTGAAATTAACTTTTGCAGCTGGTTAAAACACAACAACAATATGCTCATGAACATCTAACACCAGTAAGAAGGTGTGACTGAAAGTGACTTTTTATGGTAGAAAGTAGTGAAGAAATACCTCCTCCCAAGTATAAACTGTTTTTCCAGTGGGTGCTGTGCTCACGATATCCCTGCACTCAAAATGGATCATTTCTGTTCAGCGACAGTAAGTGAAAAAGTGTTCTTGCTCTTCTTAGAAAATGTTACAGAAGTTTGAGATTGAAATGTGTTAAGTGCATTTTTGTGGATACGTGCATCTATGCAATTAACCCAAAACAATCATCTAGTCATTTCACTAAATTATCATTGAGGATTGGCAAAAAGCTGTTCTCAGGGGATCCAAAACATTCTTCCAGACACTGCAGACTTCAATTTTGCAATACTCCAACCTTTCCAAGTCTGCTCTTCATGCAAGTAACACTTTTCCTTCTCCCCCTGGTCCTAGTAAGACTATGATAAAACATCCGACCACCAACTGCAATATATTAGTAAGCAGTAAAGTCAGTAAAACTTCAATAAACACCTCCTTGCTGAACTAAGCTTCTTCCCCTACACAATAAACTTTATGTTCCAAGTCCATGGGGATGACTATCCCCATTTGATATACTTGGGAGTCAAGACTCCCACCACTGTACTGTTGATTCTACTCCTGGAGTAAGTATTCAGCTACCACTAAGTGCTGCAGCCCGAGTGTCACAGAAACAAACCCCATCTCTGGATCAGTTCTTAAACTGACTTGCTGCACTCATTTATACATGTCCTATTGTATCTTCTTTACTGCAATACTTATCTTACTGCACCTGTTACTGAAAACAACACAATTTTTTTGTCTTAACAATTTTCTTTGCAACCAGTTACCATTCAAAATACCAAAATACATTCCTTACTGACTTAATTGAATGACTAGTTCATGACTTAATGGCAATTCTACTACATCTACTACTACTTAGAATGTCATTCTATTACACCTACTACGTGAGGATATAGCATATCATTAGTTGTGGTGAAAAGTTCCCTTCACCAGTGTCCTATGATACGGCATAAGCAATCTTATTCCACTAACTGAAAGCAAGAATTAATTGCTGAAAAGTGAAGTTTTAAGTATTACTCAAGTTGTTAAGTGAGCAACTAAAGCTCTCAAGTTACCTTTGGTAACTAAGGTATAATGGCAATTCACAAAACTGTTTCTTCCAAATTCCATCAAGAAAAGAACAGTCATGTATATTTTAAGGAACCCAAACTAGTAGCAGAGCAAAACAAGACACATATCTTTCCTTCAGTTAAAGAAAGTTACTCACATTGACAAGTAAAAGACACAAGTTTAACTAAAAATTCTCTTTGGATAATTAAAAAAAGGTCCTCACTCACAATAAAAAAAGCTCCCTTTATTATGATCAAGAAGATGAGAAAAGTCAGTCTTTTGTACTCGAGTTTACAACATTAATTGTTTGTTATTATATAAAGAAGTCTTAAATTCAATATTGAGATGGGAGTTAGTTTATTTCAAGTTAAGCAGACTGAAAAGCAAAATCCTACCTTGCATCTGGGGAGATGTTCACTAAAGGTTTAAAAGTCTCTTGTAAATAAAGCTCTGTGTACAGAAAATTAATAGACCATTACCACTTTATATGAAAACACTAGCTTTTTTTATGAAAGCATTTTATGAATTCATTCATACACAGTTAAATTGAAGAAAGGCAGCAATATATACAGTTCTACCGCTCAAGGAGATTACGTTAAGTAGAAGTTTTAAGTGAGCCTAAACTGGTTACCACCAGGGGTCACTGCAACAACAGCAAATAATTCTTTACCAGCTCCTTTTGTGTGAGCGTCTGCTGCATGGAGTACTGTGTGTTATTTAACGGCATACAGTCTATTTTTAACGTTAAGCTTCCTCTCTGCATTCAGCACTTCTGTTCACACCCAGCAGGTTGTATGAATTTCTAGTTGGCGTTTACTATTTCTGCTTTCATTAAAAAGTGTGTGGAGAGACAAGCTAAGCCTATGGTTAATTAAAAACCCACTATACTGAAAAACACTAGAACATACCAAATTATAAACCAAGTAGTAAATATTCTTACCCCTCCAGGTTTCTATCTTGTGCTCCTCCAATTCATAAATCTGAACCTACAATGGGTAGATGGAAAATTGAGCTTGAAGCATTAATTTTAAATCCAACATCATTACCAGTACTATAAATATCTGAATAATATCCTTACGGTTCATTGCAGGCAACCTAACAAAGTAAGAACAGTCTAGAATAATATTTCTTGGCAGTAACAAGAAGGGGTGCAATCCTGCTCAATGCAGAGTACCACACTGGACCTATCGTTCCAGGGGACAGGGAAGATCTTTCACCTGCCCAGGTTTGGAGCCTAGGGCTCTTCTAGACTCAAAGCCATCTCTGCAGTAATCTATCTCATCTTAAAACAATCACGCTAGAGTAAACCTGATGATTCCTCACACCCCCAAACCAGTAAAAGCTTATTACTCTGATTAAATTAATGGCATCTGACAAGCATTTCTCTATGAATTGTGAATATTAGCATCAGCTAAGGTATCAGATGTCTGCTTCATCCCACTGTTCCCGGTTATTTCTTTTTCCCAATTAAAATATAGCATATCTGTTTTAATTGGTAGAGGGAGGATTGCGACATGATGGGAACAAGAAAGGGATGTAAATGTTTGTATGAACATTCAAGCTAGAGAATTTCATTAACTGCCTGCCAAAGGGAATTTTAAATCACAGATAATTGAAGTCAACAGATCTGCAAGTGATTGTGTAATTTGGCCAGGTGACAAAAATATTTGCATATATTTAACTAGTTTAACTTGTTTACACGATCACTCCAAGAACAGAGTAACCTTTTCAGGCATCTAAATCTCTGTAAGATAGCATTCTGCTTAACTCCACATACTCCTTTTGGAAGAGCTCTATCACAGTTATGAGACAAAGATGATTATACGTAAACATGCATAGTTACATACTTGTTTTTCAAACACAGTAACATTTTCATGTAACTTAGACATCCTCCCCAAATGCTTTTTGATTGATATTTATATAGAATTCCGATTACTACTGAAGTATGTGCTTTGAAACAACCTGAGCACTAATACATACAGCCATTAATAATTAAGTATTTTCCTTCCTACTTTTTACATCACATCTCTTTTTAGGAAATATGCTAAGCCAGGTCGTTCATCCCAAATGCATTATTCATTAGTTGCAACACTAAGTGGAGCCTTGTAACCAAAACAAAGGCTATCATTCTGGAAAGCACTACACAAAACATAGTAAGTGGTTGTACTCATTAAGGGAATTCCTCATGTTTATACACGTGTAACTGAAGCAGATTGATTACATTACCCAATCAAACTCATAGGACTTTCATGGCTAAAAACCTGGGAACTGAACCCAGCTATTCAGATACCACTCCATTACCTTGCTCACAAAGCCATCTTCCCTTTCAAAAAACCCTCACAGCTGGTATACCCATCTCATATCTAAGCTTCTAAAGACTTAAATAATAGCAACAACCATAATCAATCTTTCAGCTTGATATTTCAGTCTCTGTACTGTACAGCAAATAAAAGTGTAGCTTAGTATCATACTTACCATTGGAGATTTATAGTATCTATGCAGTATGTTAATGAAATCTGTAATTGTTAACATCCCTGTAACAAGTGATATATGAAAAAAAAAAGTTTTTCAGATATATATGCTTAACACAGTATTTAGATTTGCAATATACAATTTAATAAATATTAAATCCATGTAACATACTATTAGTATTGGACTAATTCAATAGTGGAATTCTGAAACTATGTATATTCACTTTTACACTGATACTTCAGAATAGAAACACAAGTCTGAATTAACATTCAAAATTATAACCTCCTCTTTCAATCTGACAAGAAATCCTTGAATCCAGACTGTATTCACCCCCAAAAAGCATGGAAAGAAAAGAGGGTTTAGAACATCTTTAAGAGGCTGGAGGGCAATCCTTGCCTTTCATTTTCTTTTAGAATTAGACATTCCCATTCTGTACTTGACAAGTCAGACTCACAGACTCAAACGAAAGAACAATATAATCCATTTTCTTGAATATTACTTATTCAAGACCTTCCTTCAATCATTTCCATGGTAAACCTGTACTGATATACGACTTTTTTTAACAAGGGAAAAAAAAAAACAGTACATCCATAGCATACACATTTTAACTACCAACACCAAACTATGTAAAATAATATTGATGATTAATTTAGTTACCTGAAAGCATTAATCATTTTTGAGCTTTCTCAGTGCACTGAGAAAGGGCAGAGAACGGCATGCCTGTATCACATGTGTATTAAGATACTGTAACATTAAATCCTTCTTTTTACAGTTCCTATTTTCAAATTTCCTTTTTGTGTCGGTCACCTTTATTTTTAGGTAAGGTGACACACACACACTAGAGACCAGATTTCAGAAGGCCAGGACCTCAAAGAACTTTAATGATTTTCCAAGCACAGCAACACTATGACACCTGGCGACATTTCACTCCTTTCGAGGAGGAAAAAGAAACCCTCTCTTGTCTCAAGGACATTAGACAATGCCTGGCCTGGGGCCACCTTCTGCAACAGTAAAGCACCTTGGAAATTAAAGTAATCCTGAATAATGTTAGAACTACTCACCTACAAAACTCTGTTTTTTACTCTCCCACAGTGGAGCTGCTCTTACACCATTTGCCACCAAGGCAAAAAAGGCTTTCTTTACCTGCGAGAAGAATGAGCAACTGAACAAATCTTTGCTTTTAGTTTAGCATACCAGACACCAACAGAAGGGCTTCCCCAGTTACTAGGAGAAATGAAAAATGCAGTATAAACAGGTAGGTTGTATTCAAAACAGAACAAAAACCATAGACACCAATCAAAACCCCTAAGCCTTTTACTTCTAAAATGGTTTAAAAGCTTAGGAAAAAAGCTTAGCAAAGGCAGATAGACTTTTGTTTCATTACCTGAATATTGTGTGTGAAAGCCTCTGACAAAGAAAAAAAAATGAAACAGCTAAAAACGTATGCTGGCTAAACTCAACTTTATTCCTGTTTGATATTATCCATAAACATTATTACACCCACCCCCACCAAATTATGACGCTGAATAAATCTGTAATGAATATAATTATCACAAGTGTCCAGTTTAAGGATATAGCTTAACAGCTGAAGACTGTACTGAATTCTAGTTAACGTTCACTATGGCCACAGTTGTATAAAAGAGTTGGTCTCATTTTCTCTCCAGCTTTTAGGCTCATGATTCACACACCTGATTTTAAATGAGCAAAAGTTAAAATGAGCAGTTATCCTGTTTTCCTGTTAAAGAAATACAACCACGTACTTTCATTTTTTTTTAAAGTAATTAACCCTCCCAAATTTCTGAAGCCGAGTTTGTAAGATTATAGTGCCATTCCCAAAAGAAAAGAAAAACAAAACTTCCCTGGGAACACTAGTTCTCTAAAGCATGAAGCTGTCAGGCTGTAGCACACCTTGAAACCCTGATCTCTTGGCAATATGCTTCAGCATGTTATCATTCCTGTCCTGCCCACACACATCTAAATAGTCTTCATACGGAAGACACTACAAAGAAGTGATGGGTCTTGTCCAGGTCTTGACCTGGCATAAAACTAGGACATAGCCAGTCTGTGTCTCTGCATGCATGAAATCAGTCCTCAGTCCAAATTACATAGAAGTAGCAATTGCCTGACTGCAGTTTGAGCAGACCAGGATTACACAGTGGCATCTTAAGTGTCTACTTTATGTGCCAAGCGGCTCCTCTTCACAAGAGGATTCAGGAATAAAAGGGCTCCACAATGGAATCAGCATCCAGTAGGTAAGAAGAAAGTCAGCCATTGTTAGCTACCACATTCTTGGAAAAGTGTGCAAAGCTATCCATATGATATCCAGTGTCATACTAGAGAGAACCTCCATTTAGGCTCTCAGTGTTATATTGCTCCTGGGTTGGAGCAATCCCAGGCACAACTACAGGTTGGGCAAAGAAGAGATTCAGAGCAGCCCTAAAGAGAAGGACTTGGGGGGGTTGGTCGATGAGAAAATGAACATGAGCTGGCTTCAGTGTGCGCTCGCAGCCCAGAAAGCCAACCGTATCCTGGGCTGCATCAAAAGGAGTCTGACCAGAAGGTCGAAGGAGGTGATCCTGCCCCTCTACTCTGCTCTCGTGAGACCTCACCAGGAGTATTGTGTGCAGTTCTGGTGTCCTCAACATAAAAAGGACATGGAACTGTTGGAACAAGTCCAGAGAAGGGCCACAAGGATGATCAGGGGACTGGAGCACCTCCTGTATGAAGATAGGCTGAGAAAGTTGGGGCTGTTCAGCCTGGAGAAGAGAAGGCTGCATGGAGACCTCATAGCAGCCTTCCAGTATCTGAAGGGGGCCTATAGGGATGCTGGGGAGGGACTTTTCATTAGAGACTGTAGTGACAGGACGAGGGGTAACGGGTTAAAACTTAAACAGGGGAAGTTTAGGTTGGATATAAGAAGGAAATTCTTTCCTGTTAGGGTGGCGAGGCACTGGAATGGGTTGCCCAGGGAGGTTGTGAATGCTCCATCCCTGGTGGTGTTCAAGGTTGGAGGAGGCCTTGGGTGATATGATTTAGCATAAGGTGTCCCTGCCCAGGGCAGGGGGGTTGGAACTTGATGATCTTAAGGTCCTTTCCAACCCTAACGATTCTATGATTCTATACTGTAGCAGTTTAAATTTCTAAAGTTAGCAAGATTTCTGCCCTTCACCAGAACACATCACCTCCATCTACACTTCAGTAATTAGCAGTGAATGTTTCAAATGAACTCCAATCTTTAAGATCAGACTTTTGAAAGCAATCCATGTTTCTTGCTACCTCTATGCAGCTCAAATGCTTCCTCTGTAAACATGAGAAGCAAATCTGTCCTCCTGACCACAGCAAATGGCAGTTACCAAACTTGCTTCCTGACTTCACAGATACTTATGCTATTATCACCAATGAACAGTGATAATGATCTGCTTAATAACACCCAAACTGCATTAAAACTGAAAAAGCCATATGGGAAAAGAAAATACACATCATGTGGTATTTATCTAGAAAATGTTTAAATAGAAAGGTACCAGAGGTTTCAGCCACCTCAGTGACACAAGCACGAGTCAGGTAAAACAAACATTACCAAATCTATCACAGGAGCAGGCTAACTCATAAGGAAGACTGAAACCACAGAGAAACCCTCCAGGCAGACAGATGAAGTGCTCTTACATAACAGCATCACACTTACAGTTAATGCAGTGAGCTGTTCGGGGAGCAGATATGAGTAAAAATAGAGTTCACACAGAATAACTCCACCTTAGGGCAAAGTTATTTCTAACCATTCATCATCAAAAAGTGAGGAACGTACACTTATACTGCCTGAAACTGAGAGCTTTCACCTCTGTTATCTTTCAATAATAATAGCTATCACACAAGTTAACAGTTACAGCCAACTTATCCCCCAAGTCTTCCACAGGGGTAAGATGTTCAAGCTGCATCAGAGTAAGAAGGTAACAGCTAATCTATTAAAGCCCAGGGGAAAATAGCTTTCTTCCAGATACTAATCATGCAACAAAACTCTGAGCAAGTTCACAAAGTCTGTAATTGATAACCTGGAAAAGAAGCATGCTCACAGCAGAAAATACATGGGAGCCGACTACAGCACTTCCAGACAGCCTCCAAAGTCTCGCTACTGCTACTTCTCAGACACAGCGGCAGCAAACACCACCTAGCACAATGTCCAGATAGGTGAGATGGTAAAACTGAGGTATTAAGACTCAGAAATTATACTTCAGGAGAGACAATTCAAAGATACACTAGGCAAGAAGCTGAGCTCATAGGCAATCCAGAAGGAAAATAAACTGCTGAAGGATCAGTCTTGCCCTGATTCTGTTTATTTGCAAGTTATTTATCTCAAAGAACCTCAGGAATCTTCTGTTAGATGCCATCTTGTCTACCTTTAAAAGACAGATTTTGGAAAACCTGAGGACTGCTGAACAGCTAGAGCTACTGAGATACCTCAGCCTTCAATCCTTCATAAAGGACAATGAGTTCAGCTTGGGCATTAGGACATTAAATATTTGATGTCATAAATCACCCAATCACCAGCCCTCTGGGCTGTCCTCCTAGACCACAGCTTAAGTGACATTCCTATTGCTTGCTTCAGTTTTATAGCAGAAAGTGTTATACAGTTAGCTTTTAAATAAAAGAACAATGCCATCCATTCTTAATGTTAATACTTGTCTCTTATTTAAGTAAGATAATTACAAAGCAAAAAACCGACTTTTGCTCTTATTAACCATGTAGTGGTCCCAAGGAATACAATGAACCATTAAAAATGGGATCTATATGCCAAAATTTAGAGGTTGTTCTGACAAATGTGCTGAACTTGCATATTCACATCTCTTCATAGCCAAGCAGGGAAAACTGTCATTTCTGTGGCATGACTCACCAGCCTTTGACAGAGTTGAAGTTGTACCCACAGATGCCATTTTCCCCCTCACTGACTACAAGATGTCTACACAAGGATGAGGAATCCTACTTGATGTGACTACTTGTTTTTTCCAACATTCTGTCTTTTAACTAGATGGGTCATATTCTAGCAAAGGAAAACAGAAACTGAAATCCTGCATGTATCATAAATCATCTCAACAATAGGTGCTATTGCACCACAGAGAGCCAAACAGGAACAAGCTTTTCTTACTACAGGAACTCATTATACCAACTGTGAACAGGCTGAATAGAACAGGCTAACTCAGGTTAGACAGGACTTATGAAGGCCAGAGCACTCAAATATTTCCACTGTAAGTCTTAAGGAGGATGTAGCTTCTTCCAAGTAACAGCTGTTAACAAGAAAGACCAAGTTAGACCCATACATAGGAAGGCCTGTTTTTCATGTAGTAAAACATTTGGCAAACCTAGTACTTTACAGTTAGCAAGCTCCAAAGTCGCTTGGTTACTGGGCAGTGACACCAGAAATGGTGGCAAGAGATAGAAGGTTTCACCAGACTACAGAAAAACTCTTTCCTTGATGACAGTAAATACAGAAAGGGACACTCCTCATTATGATACACCAGACCAGTAATCTCACAAGCCCTTGTGAAAATGCTCTCGAGTAAACATCTGTGAACGAGGGAAGCATCCGAAAGGAAAACTGAGGACAAGCTTATTTCCAAGAATTCAGCAAGCTAAATTTGTTTTATCTACCACTATGTCATGAAAACTAATTACATGCATAAGTGACCAGTGGGTTTCAAACTTGTCTGCCAGGACTACCCCATAAGGTAAGGAGGGTGACTGCTGCTGTTCAATCACTTGTTTCATTTGCCTTGCAAAAAGGATCTTGTCCTTGAAAACATTGAGAGAGAAGAGCTGTGAGCGTCTCATGCCAAAGGGTCAGTGCTGAGAGAGTAAAAAATAAAATGCTACTGTATTGGAAGACACAGAGCACCATTGTCTCAATGCCAAAGTTAACTTAGAAATGCTGGAAGGTAACGGAAGTAAGAAACATAGTTACAAAACACCTTCAGATATGCCACTACCAAAGCAAGAGGATGATGCAGAAGACAGTAGCTTGGACAGTGTGTAAAGATCTACCAGAACTTGTGGTATGGCTGCCATCCAAGGGCAAGATGATAAATGTGTACATTTCTTGTACCTATTTTCACTGTAAACCAACACCAGGGCATTAGCTCCACTTGCCTGAAAAG